AAATAAAAAAAAAAAATGTTCCTTATGTTTCCTATGTGCTCCAATCCAGATACCTATCCTTCCATAATAAACTTCAGAACCATCCGAATCCTCTCGTCTCTAACCTTGCTTCCTCTTCTCCGAGGCGTCTGAAAACAAGGTGGCCTCGAGATCTCCTGTTGCAAATACATTTTGTTTTTAGAGTGCTACCAGTGGGTAGTTTCTCGACAAGTGATTTCATGTTATTATTTTCTGTTATCAAATTTACTAAATGCATTTTATTTATTAATACAGTCGTAAATATCACGAATAAATTTAAAAAAAAAGGGGGGGATCCTGTATCAAGGACTATGAACTTTGCTGGAAAAAAAAAATATAAACTCCATACCTAAAATTTTTACTATTATCTTAATTTTATCTGCATCCTTTCTTTTTAATATTTTTAGCATTCATGTTAGTCACTAGAAAAGAACACCAATCCCTCTTGATTACGAACTGCAGTGTAAATATGAACAGAAAACGACCGTAGGCAAAAAAAAAAAACCTATAGAAAGAGTACCAATATTTGCCTAACAGACCGACGTATACAAACAACACGGCCACGTACTGAGGTGGTCTACATGGCTTGTGTAGTGCCCTGTTTGCCGAAGGATATTTGTAGACCTGTTTACAGAAATAGAAGAGTCGAGAGCGCATATCATTAATCAAGGGGGCTTTGTATTCACCGGGAACAAGTGAAGGCCTCCAAGCCTTCAACGTCATTGGCTAAGAATGCTTCGCCTCAAGGTGTATGTTATCCTTTATCGGCGTTTTGTCCTGGAAGGGACAATGGGTGGCTAAATGGTGGCTCTTCATCAGGGGGATATGCGCGCAACAGGAACTATTGACTATTCTTAGTTTATAGAAGTCTTATCATGTATTATTAATAATATCATATTTGCCACTATTCTATAATTTAAAACGTTGGTAGTGTATAGTTGTTGAGAAAAAAAAAAAACCTGTTGTATTGTAGAGTAGGTCAACTTAAGTTGAAACCAGTAACCCCCTTCTGGTTGCAACCGCTTTGACCTTTCCTATAAGTCATCGATGTCTTTGTTGCTAGTCTATTCTTTTCCGAGATGTATATAATCCGTTTTTTTTTTTCAATGAATAAAAATCGAATTTTGCGAGATACGATTTTTGAATATTATTCCTCAAAGGCGTTTTTTGTGTTACATGGGATAACTTATCACGTTATTTTTTTATTTTAAAAAATTAAAATTATGCCATGCATTATAGGATACTACAAACTAAAAATCTTTTAAAGAAGTTAACGAAGGATAATAGTTCAAACGTCTTTTAAGAAATAATAAATATTTAATACATTATAATTTTTTTTACTCTTATTTTTGGTTTATATTTAGAGGTCTGTTACAATTTAACTATCCTTAGAAATAACAATTGAAATATTCTAGGATTTATAAACGTGATCTCTATGGAAATCGGTTCAGCATCGCACTTTTTCAATTTTTTTATTATTTTAATATATTTTTTTCAAAGGTGTTTTTTTGTCGGTAAACCATAATAATAATCTTCTCAAATTTTAAATCGAATCTATTATTGAAGCATTATTTTGAAAATTATCTTTTCATTCAGTGCAAAAATAAAAAATAAGCATATTTATTAGAAAGGAAGGAAAAAAAGTTGAGGAAAAAAGAAAAATCCATATACGCAGGAATAAAAAAGTGTAAAATTTAAGGTATATTATTAGTATGATAATTTGAAAGGTTTTTTTAATTTCTTCGAAACAAAGAATAAATTATTGATATTGAACAATTATAAATACATATTTTATACATATTTTGGTTTATTATTTCCAATAATGAACTCTTGTAATTGACTCCCAAATATAATGTTATTTGTCCCCTTACCAATATACATACGAATATACGAGTAATATATTTACTAATATAGGAATTAGTCGCTGGATCCTACTAGTTATATTGTAAAACTATTTTTTTTTAAAATAGTTTCATATATATATCCAGTCTAATAAGATTCTTCAACTACCGAATTGTAGAATGCTAAATTTTTTTAAAAATACATGGAGGTAAAAAAAATTATTTTTTTCAAGTTTCAACTTCAAAATAATGAAAATCTCGAGACATAGTTATTGTTAAATAAGCTCGCATATAACAATAACTAGCGTTTTTTTTTTAGAATAATATCTTTTGATGTATATATAAAATATAAAATTATTAGCGAATAATATTAATTAATCTCTTGCATTTATACAGAGAAAAACGGTAGAGTGAAACATAAATTCCGAATTTATGCCAGCAGGTTTAGGTCAAATAGCATCCGTTCCAACACCGTCCAACATATGCGCAATACAGGTTTTCCGTCCAAAAACTTTACGGCGCATGTGTTAGGCGGTTTGCTGATTGTCAAAACTCCTGTTGGAACAGACCTGTTATTTATCTGTAACTGCTTCTACAAATAAGGAACGGAGCACTCAGGGGGAAAGTTCATGAATGAACGTTCAATCTGATTGAACTGGAAAGTAGGCTGAGTTCAGAATTAACAGTTGTCTTCGTAAGAGACTTCTAGTTCCCAAAGCCGCCGATAATTGTTTCCTATTAAAACTGGAACAGGTCTTTCGTACCTCTACGTCATCAGGGGATACTATCAAATAGGATTCGTCGTTTCCTGCTAGCCGACGGGACTTCCTTGGGAAATCTAGACTTGTCAACTTCTGTACGTTATCTCCGTCGTAGATTATAAATCGATATTTTACATAATATGTTCATATGTAATATAAACGAGGGACCGCAGTGGTCGAGCGTGTTAAGGCTTCTGCAAAAATTTTAAGCTATGAGTTTAAATCCCGTTCGCGGAATTTAAAGCAAAAACAAATATAAAAAAATAATTAATAATAAATTAAAAATTAAAATAAATTAGCGCAGTCTCTACTCGATTGCTTAGACCACTATGGCGCGGGTTCGATTCACGTAAGAGGACGGTAACATCTACATCCTGAGATACACAGCAAGATGAGCGACTCCTGAGTCTTCCAACATGATAGCTCCTGATCCTCCAGATTGGGGGTTGGGTGTAAGACCATTAATTAACACCAAAGGAAAATTATATATTTTGTTTCATGATTTTGTTAAAATTATCTGACATAGTTGACTGAATACTCTTGAGATATTATCTATTTGTCTTTAAATAAATTAGTATATTATATATTATTTTAAAGTTTTAATTGTTTTCATCACCTATTTTCCCGATAGTAAAGTATATAATTAAATACCGATAGTATATTAATTTTAATATAAAAAAAAAATTGTTAAAGGAACGCTATAAAGTCTTTCAGATTTATAAAGAAGAATATGTACACAAATTATAAGATAGCATAAATTTTGTTAATAGGCTATTTAATAAATAATATTTGAGTTTGTTTAAAAGTCGGAACTTGAGATTATGCTAGTCAGTATTTTATACAATTTGCGTTGCATAAAATTTAATAAAGATATTGTAAGAAAAAAAATCCACATCACTATAGAATTTATTACAAATATAGTTGGTTATGCTTTTCAGGCAAAGAATTAATTAATTAATTAGGTAGCTATTTATAGTAACAGAAGTTACCTTTTTGCAGTTTTCTTTTTCCAAGTCTTTAGTATTTCAGAACAAAAAAAAACTACATCATAGAACTGCTTACTCTACGTTACTCTATTCACTCCCTGAATACGAGATCTCGACCTACTGATTTATATAATCCCTTTCATAAATGCAAATCCTTCGTCATTCGTGCTACATCCTTTTGGAACTCCTTACCTATTCCATACGTCAATCCACGTAGCAAATTCCTCTAAACTATTATTCCAGCACATATTTCATATTCATACTACCGCAACTATGAATTATCACGAATCTATTTTAAATCCTGTCACCAATACATATTTATAATGTGATGTTACCGCTATGTTTCTTCACATTTACCAAAGAAAACAAAGATACTTTCCATGAAAAAAAATGCTGGAGAGGACTGGTGGAAGCTTTGACTTATTCGTCACGGTTACTCCAGACGGGTAATGGGCGATCTAGATCTGACGCAAGAATCCCGAAAGAGAACACAATGGGAGTACAGTGTGCCACTGTTACACTAGACCGGGGAAAGTGTGCACAATCCGTCTGTATGTCTGTTATATAACCATCTTGCTACAGGGTATGATTCTTATTGTTGTCTCAGCTCAGTCACTGTGGGTTCCAATCTCGCCCAGTAAGAGCCGGTAAACTTTTTAGGCAGTTAACGGATTCAACTAACTTCGCGTCAAAACATAAAGTCGGGTCTTTCGGCATCTTTTGCATTTTAATGTATTCAGAGTGTTCTTTTAATGTTTCTGATCTGGAGATTTGGCAAAACTATTTCTGCTAAGTTTTTTTTTTGTTGGTGATAGCATTCTAAGAGTTTTTTTTATTTTTAGAACCGACATTCTGTTATCTGTACCGACAAACAAGAAAGAACTTGATGGTTTGTTTGTTTCGCCAAAGAATGTTTCCAACCCTGAACGCAAGGTCGCCCAGTTTCTAGTATACAGGCAACCCGTCCACTTGAGACACAAATAAATAAATAAAATATGCTTAAATAAATAATTTATTATTTTTAAATGTGCATTCTTTTATTTTTAAAAAAAGATACTAATATAGATATACAGATTGTTCAACAATTTTCAAAAATGGTTTGTTCCACTTTCTCTATGAACCGGTCGCATGTAGATGTCGCAGAAACCTGTTTTTTTTTTTGTTATTTTAAATTAACACAAGATGTAAATGTTTGCCAGCTTAAATAAAAGAAAAAAAAAACTTTACTTCACGTGGTACGGGTCTAAGTCAATGCATATATTATTTTGCTCTTGATAAGTTAAAAAAATATCGCCCAAAACAATGTTCTATAACATTAAAATGACATACAAACTTGCATTGCATTATATAATTACAATTGTTTTTATTGTAAATAATAAATTATTTTCACTCACCTTATCTATGACTAGGTTGACAATACTGCTAAAAAATATAGCTATGAAGATCCCAACGAATATTAGAATCAGTGACACGACGATCACTACCCCTGTAACAGAAATAAATAAATAAATATAAATATGTATATACAGTTAAATAAATATAAGTTTTATTAATGTAAATAGCAAATATTGAATAACATTTCCTGTAAATAATTATCTTTTTCCTATTTTTTTAAAAATATATTTATTTTTTATGGAATATAGTTTTAAAATACATAGATCGTTTTCATTAAAAAAAAAAACATTAACTTAATTATGCTATGTACATAATTACGAAATAATATACTAATAAAGCACCAATTACCGTTTTATACCGTACCAATGCTAAACTAACACCATGGGAACGTTACCATATTTAGCAGGGAAAGTTCCCAGGTATGTATAAGTACGGATACTGTTAACTTTAATGGCTTCATTAAGCATTCCATTCACAGGCAATTTTCTGAATAATTTATATATAGATTTTATGGTTCAGATTTAATAACTCAAAACAATTTCTGAAAAAATTAATATTTTATTTAATCATTAACTATTATTTTTTTTTTTTAATTTATTTTTAATCGATTAATTTTGGCGATTTAAATAGAAAAATAGATAATTAATTTTATATAACGCCTTCCATATTTTTATATAATAAAAAATTGTTTTATAATTAATAATTAGTAATTTTATTTTTTTTTAAACTGATTTTCCCAAAATGGAAACAATCGCGTGTGGTCCGAGGATAAATATATTAAATATATACTCTTAGAAATAGTTTTAGTCAGTGGTACAGACACCTATTTATCAAATGGAACCTCGTAAATAGCTTCATTTCATCGCGACTTACAAATATTTTATTAGCGAAAACTCTCGGAATTGGAGCGTTTTCAATCTGGAGATCGATAAACTTTGTCTATTTAATTGGGTACTAAATACTCATAAATACTTATTTTCTTTCCACTTGATCGTAAGATAATATCATCACAAAACCGAAAAGAAATAAAGGTTGCACACAAAAATATTGGGCCATTTGGCCTATATAACCTCGTTATTTGGATATTTTTGAGAGGTCAAACGGCCCAATAACAAACTAGATAACCAACTGATATACTTCTAAGAAAAAAATAAAATAATAACAATTAAATATACCCTGCTATTATAGTTATAAAAAATAATAAAAATTATTAAATATCATTAATCAGGTCACATTTCCGAAAATATGTCATGATTCAAAATGTTTAATATATTTAAATATTCATTACACGGCATGTTCCATAATACAATAAAATGAAAGAAATGATGGGTATTTAGTTGGCATAAGTTTGATTCAGTTTCGAAACTTAAAATAAATATCATAATTTTGACATCTATGAAAGAAATGCAATTGGTTGTTCCTAGTCAGATGAGAGATTTAAATAACTTGAATATTCCGACAATTGTAAATATATTTATATTATTATTATGTTTTCCGATAAGTTTTATCAAGGGCATTAATGACTCGGTACCTTAAGGAGTTCCTCTTTAATAAATAAAATATTAATGCATGGGCATGTCTAAAGAAGAGAACAGCTGTCCCCCTTTCCACGTGGGATATTAATGAAATAATTTGCTATAAATATTAAAAACAGAATTTCTTAAAAATTTGTTTACAGCGGCAGGTTGGCAATCAGTATCTGAATATCGAAAAAGAAAATAATTCCAAAATAAAGACCAATTCAGCCAAAATTAAATTAATTCTTCTATTTTAAATAATCATCCCTCCCATTATTTATAATTGAATTCGTAATGTCTAAAGTAACCGGAAGATATTATTAGAATATTCTGAAGAAGAATCTATATTAGGTCGTAGACTCCACAAACAATAGATTTTCCCAACACTATACTTCTTCGTCTTCCTGCTCTGCATACAATATGGCTGGCAGAACAACTGTATAGGGACCACTGATGGACGCCATCTGATCCCTCTTATCGATACGTCCATCCAGTTCTTGTAAAAGGCAAGAGTCGTAGAGGAAAGATGAAAGGTCAGTGAAACGAGGGCTAATTTGCATTCAAGAGCCGAAGCATCCCATAACGTAAATAATGGTTTATCTCGATAACGAGCGGTAAAACCGCAAGATAAAACGCTGTGATTTATTTTAAATTATGTGATGTTCAGTTTTGTCGTGATTTTTACCAATTTCACGGTATCGGTTTACGAGTTAAATGAACTCGTAATTTTCTTGTTAGTAGTGGTTATTTGCAGGAAATAATTCTACACATCTTCAGAATATTAAGTTTTCATTGCGAACGCACTTTTTCCTTGTTCGGGAAGGTTTTACACAATTATTAATATTATGTTATCAGTTGCTTTTTTTTTTATTAATTTAAGTTCGTAGAAAATATTTATTTATTAATTATTTGTTTTTATTTTATTGTTCTACTTATTTGTTTTTAACATCGTCTATCTTTGAAATGAATTATTTACGAATAATTTTGCTTTTGAAACATTTGTTTACTATAATTAACTGTTTTCTTTTAATGTATTGTTTAATTGATGTATTATATTTCTACAACTATATATATATATATATATTTTTTTTTTTTTTTTTTTTTTTTTAGTAATATAATAATGGTCACGGGGACAAAAATTACAGTGATATATGAACACATTCACACCATATATATTAATTGATGTTATATTTAATTAATGAGATATATTTTTATAAACATAAACAACTAACATGATCCCACGACAAATTCAATTTAATTTGTAATATTTATTTGTTTAGATTGGTATTCCATAAGTTTATTTTGTACTGTTTTATTATTTCATTAGTTTCTTTAATAATGTTTTATTTTATTATGAATACATTCTGTTTTTCAAATTATTCTTTTTGAATTAAAACAAAAAAATAAAACAGGACTTATACACCTGAACGGTCTTGGGTCCATTGCTTTGTAAGGAATTACTGTTTCTTGGTCAATGGTTGTGTTAAAATTACGCTTAGACACCAGATTTTCACCCTTAATTTATTATTTAATTGGGAGTATCTAATCTATAGAGGCTGAGTGTTCCTAGGTCTTTCGACCACCAGGGTCGATCCACAGCTGATGTAACAGAATGAATGATTATTTGCCACAGCCAAATTCGAATCCAAGACCAGGAGCATTGGAATCCTGTGTCGTACTCACTGAGCTATTCTGCTCCTTCTTGTTTAATTTATATACTTTAAAAAAATGCAAATATTACTTTTTTTCCGAAGGCTTAAATTCAAAGTTTTAAAGTTATTTTCTTATCTTAATTTTCCATTTCTTTACAACCGTATACATTTTCACTAAATGTTTACTTACCTTAGAATATAAAAATAATGAACAATTAAATATTCATAAAAAATTATTTTAAATGTCTTGAACGTAAAAAGGATAGATCGATAACGTTTCTTGTCGGAATTCCTGGTCATGGAATAACAAACAGTAAATATTCCTTTTCTATCGAGTTATTTTTTTTTTCTCGGATAGCTGCCATTCGGTCAGTTTCGCCTATTCTTCGACAATGTTCCGATTTCATAAGAAAGTTCCTTTCTTCGTTGCAGGGTGCAATTCAGGAAACACCTTCTTCCGAATTGGAAATCGAATCTTATTGCGCCATTATTCGACAATAAGATAGAAAATATTTCCTCTTCATGTATATTTCCGCGTTTTCTAATTACCGGTTGATTGATCGACAGTCGATAGCATTCATTGTGTGGAAAAATGTTGATATTTCATGTCATTTCCAGCTTACCTTCCAAGTTTTAACCGTATAAAATGGGTACCATAACTTTCACTTAGTCGAGAGAAACCAGGAGGTTGCAACGTGGACATCCTTATTTTTTTCTTTTATTTTGATTTTCTTCAATGGGTAGAGAAAGATTGTTAAGGAGGCCAAGGTCTTCCATGGAGCGTAGCGTTATTTCACTAGTAAAATATTAATATAGCATATACGGTTGGGGAAGAGTAAAAAAAAAAAAAAAAAGTGATAAGTGACAGTCTAAGTGATAAAATGTAAGTATTGAGTTATTTTTATTTAAAATATTTCGTTCCAAATATTCTATTACCAAGACCTTACTACAGCAGGAATGCGATAGACATTTTGGAAAATACAATACTATAAAATTATTTTTGGTAGAGTTGAAACTCTGCTATGCATTTAATCCAATTTCGAAAAAACAAAACATCTTTGCTCTATTGATGCTGAATCCTTCAAATATTTATTTATGATCGTTATGTATCACAGTTATTAATTAATAAAAACTCATCAATATATCAGGATAATATTTAAAATTGGCTCATTAATATTAATATTAAAGTTTCTATTAAGCATGAGATTCAAAACAGTTCAACAATCTATATAGGCTCTTCTGGAAATAAATGTATGTGTACTTATTTATTTATAGGAATATCTTCGGTACAATTTTCCCAATATATTAACCGTAACAATTACAATGACAATAATATTACATCTAAAAGTATTTACAAATTAAAAATTCTGAAAATTAATAATTACTCTCCGAAAATAATTGTTTTTTATACATGTTATATAAAAAAACAGAAAAAAATGAGGAGAAGCACATAGGGTAAAAATAAATAAATAATTTAAATTTTTTTGAAGCCACGTTACTCAATTAATTAATATGAATTCTAATTGGGGCTTTCGAAATATAGTGAATTAATATAATAATGAATAAACAATGATATAAATTTAAACATTAAGGAAAATAATTTAAATCATTTTTACTATATCTTCAAGTATATAAATTAATAAATAAAAAAAAAAATCTCTTGTACACTAATTATTTCTAAAATTCAGTTATCTCAATATAAGGTTTTTATATTGTTTATTTATTTTACTTTTTCACATGGTTTTTATTAGACCTGGGCACTCTTGAAATAATTTATTTCTGAAATAAATCATATGATTATTTCATGAATGAATTATTGTCGGAATAATGTTTATTTCTGAAATAATATTTCAAATTGTCAATGAAATAATCACTATAACTAATAATAACTACTAAATTTATTTCTGAAATAATTATTTTGG